TAAGTGTCACAAAATATATCTTTTCCTACAAAAGAAACATTATTATTATGAGTAGGCCACTTAGCATGCATATTACCATTTGCTTAGTACTGAGTGTCATAATGTCTTTCTTTTTTTTATTCTCATGTTCCTAAAGCAATAAGTAAAGCAGATGGGATTAAAAAAAAAAGATAATAAAATATGAAAGATTTTTGAAGCTTTTGGATTACATGCACTAAAACACAACTTTTATTTTGCTATTTTGAACATATTTTTATTTAAAAAGTCACTGTCATGTAGCTATCAGTTGAAATACTTTATTTTACTTATTTTTTTAAATGATTCAAAACTTTTTATCTTCTTAATTAGGTATTCTACCCTTAGATTTAAAACTCATTTTTCCTGAGTATATTTTGTCTTAAATATACAAAGGAATATATTTTCATAGAGTGTGTTGAAAATTAGGAAAATCAAGGGTTCTGGTTCTGTCAGGTGCAGTATTTAGAGTGTTATTTTGATAAAATCCTGTTGCTCTGATATGGCTTGAAAATACTTGTTCCTTTGGAGTATAATTGCAGGGGAAAAACTGTGGGATAGGTAGAAATTCACCATAATGACTTGAATTGGTTTTGTATATAATCATCTGAGGTTTTGATAGTGAGGTGGCTGTCTGGAGTGTCTTTGGATCCAACATACATGAAAACACAGGATTGCCAGGGTTTACACATGGAGGCCGTTGTTCAGATTTCATTTCTGTGTCTGAATTTGAAGGTGAAGTACTTTTCTTATCCTAAAAGATAAGCACACAAAATCATTCTCAATTATAAAGTTCTGAAAAAAATGAAACTAAACCTAGTCTCACCCATTTTGCTTTTTCAGGAATTCTGTTCTCTTGAGGGCATTGAAGACCACCCATAAAATCATATACACCTCTATAGAGCAAACTTGTCACACATTTGCATAAAGTACCTTTTTAGACATTCTGTACTAGAACTATGAGTACTTAAAAATCTGTAAATCATAGGGAAAATGTGTAAAAGTCATAGTTTGAAGAGGAAGTACAGCTTGATTTTAGAGTGAGAAAGGAATAAGATAAACACCCAGGGTTATCCTGAGTATGTGGGCAGCCATTAAGCAACTAATTATGCAGCTAACAGAATAATTAAAATTGTGATAATTGCTATGAAGAAAAAAATACAACATATTAATGGAGACAGAATGGGAGTTCTAATCTAGTGTTGGGGGTTAGAGAAAGCCATTCCACTGAGATACCATTCAATCTGACACTGACTATAAGGCAAGGAAGTAAAAGATAAAGGTGGGGAAAAGTATGGCAAAAGTCAAATAAGTTAGGGTGAAAATGTCATGAGATCAGAATAGACAGCCAGGGGTCAGATCTCTCAGGGTCTCGTTGACTATGTTTAAAATTTGAGTATCGTAAAAGCAGTGGAAAGCTATTGAAGGGTTTAAGCAGAGATGTGACATGACGTAATAAAATTCTAGTAAAATTACTTTGCTGGTGTTAGGGCCTTTGTGAATGTGGTGAGGAACTTACTAGTCCATGTGAGTAATGATGACACTATATAGTAGGTGGTAACATGGAGATGGAGCAAATTTGTTTGTTTTTGTTTTGTCTTGTTTGTTTTTTTGACACAGAGTCTCGCTCTGTCATCCACGCTGGAGTGCAATGGCAAGATCTCGGATCACTGCAACCTCTGCCTCCCAGGTTCAAGCAATTCTCCTGCCTCAGCATCCCAAACTGCTGGGATTGCAGGTGTAAACCACTGCGGCTGGCCAATGGAGCAAATTTGAAACATATTTTGGAAGTAGAATTCACAAGATCTCATGATTGATTGGAGGTGGATGGAGAAGAAAAGGGAGAGATCTAGGATAACTTCCAGTTTTCTGGACAAACACTTGGGTAGATAGTGGTGCCATTTACTGCAATGTAATATGTAAATTAAATAAATATATAATTTTTTATATAGATGAAATATAATTTTGGCACTGAAAAGCACTTAGCATTGATGATGGCCTGATACATTAATATAACAATGTTTAGGCCTGGACTGGTGGTTCACACCTGTAATCCTAGTACTTTGGGAGGCTGAGGCAGGCGGATTATGAGGTCAAGAGATGGAGGTCGCCCTGGCCAACACGGTGAGACCCCATCTCTACTAAAAATACAAAAATTAAATGGGTGTGATGGCACATGCCTATAGTCCCATCTACTCAGGAAGCTGAGGCAGGAGAATCACTTGAACCTGGGAGGCAGAGGTTGCGGTGAGCTGAGATCTGAGATCGTGACACTGCACTCCAGCTTGGCCACAGAGTAAGACTCTGTCTCAAAAAAAAAAAATAATATAAGAATGTTTAAAAAAATTAACAAACTTTATGAAAAACTCTAAAAATGTCATGACTGAATCCTGAAATTTTGATGTTGAATTCTATCATAAGAAACTTTATTGTAGAATATTTTAATTCACGGCATTACTTACAAAAGAACTGAAATGTGTACTAATTTAGATGGATGTTAATTTTAATTATAATGCTTATGCCAAAAATACTAATAAAAGTACTCAAAAATAGTTTCTTTTCTTAAATAGTTGAGTTTTTTCCTCAACCTTACATTGATGTAAGATAAATATTCAACCAGCCCTGGTATAATTATCTCAGAATAATTATAAACTGGGGATTTTCTTTTTCTTTTCTCTTTTTTTTTTTGAAACAGGGTTTCACTCTTGTTGCCCAGGCTGGAGTGCAATGGTGCGATCTCAGCTCACTGCAACCTCTGCTTCCCATGTTCAAGTGATTCTCTTGCCTCAGCCTCCCGAGTAGCTGGGATTACAGGCATGCACCACGACGCCTGGCTAATTTTGTATTTTTAGTAGAGACGGGGTTTCACTATGTTGGCCAGGATAATCTCGATCTCCTGATCTTACGATGTGCCCGCCTTGGCCTCCCAAAGTGCTGGGATTGCAGGGGTGAGCCACCACGCCCAGCCCAACTGCAGTTTTCTTATTTGGGTTTCACCTTCTTCAAACCTGATATTCGTAAAACTGGAGTTCAAACTGACTACAGTTAAGAATGAAACAAACAGCCAGTACAAAGAATAATAAAAGGATGATTTAAAATTCTCTGCCACATTTGTCAACAACTCTTATTTACTTAAATGATAAAAAAGGTTAATTAAAAGGGTAAATGATTTTTCAGAAGAAATTTTTTTTTTTGAGACGGAGTTTCGCTGTTGTTACCCAGTCTGGAGTGCAATGGCGCGATCTCGGCTCACCGCATCCTCCGCCTCCTGGGTTCAGGCAATTCTCCTGCCTCAGCCTCCTGAGTAGCTGGGATTACAGGCACGCACCACCATGCCCAGCTAATTTTTTGTATTTTTAGTATAGACAGGGTTTCACCATGTTGACCCGGATCGTCTTGATCTCTTGACCTCGTGATCCACCCGCCTCGGCCTCCCAAAGTGCAGGGATTAAAGGCTTGAGCCACCGCGCCCGGCCAGAAATTAAATCTTAAAATTGGCCTGTGACAGTGTCTTGAAAGGTATAAAAATCTACCAGTGGCTGGTATTAGCTTTCTTAGTAATTTAATTTTCAGTTAAAGTCAGAGAAGGCCAGACCACTCTAACTTTTTCGAAGTCCTTCCGTATATACACATACACACTTATAAAGATAAATGAAAAGCCACTGATAATGACCATTGCAGAAGCTGTAATTATAAAATTAAGATTTTGATGTCACTGTGATGTTAAGTATAGTTAACACAGAAGCAAAAATAAAAAATAAAAAAGGTCTAATTTTGAGGCACTCTTGTCTCTGCTCAGGCCTACCATCTTCCTTGTTAATGTTTTCCTTTATCATTTTTTTTCATTTATTTATTTACTTTTATCACAATTAGGGGACAGAGAATGAAACCTAAGCTTTTCATTGCTTCTGAAAACAGTGAATATAAATGTACCATATCTTTTTTTTTCTTTTGAGACGGAGTTTCTCTGTTGTTGCCCAGCCTGGAGTTCAATGGTGTGATCTTGGCTCACCATAACCTCAGCCTCCCAGGTTCAAGCAATTCTCCTGCCTCAGCCTCCCAAGTAGCTGGGATTACAAGGGCGTGCCACCACTCTCGGCTAATTGTTAGTATTTAGTAGTTTCACCATGTAGGTCAGGTTGGTCTCCAACTCCTGACCTCAGGTGATCTGCCTGCCTTGGCCTCCCAAAGTGCTGAGATTACAGGTGTGAGCCCCCAAGCCCGGCCACCAAATCCCTTTTCAAAAAAACTCCCTTTTTTGACAGAGTACAATTTAAATAAGTGTACAATTAACAAAATACGTTTTTCTTCTTCAAAACCATCACTGGACAGTTTGCAGTAGGGTATGAGTGCATGACAGTCCCGATGGTCTTTACACCTTCTGAGACTATTTGGAGTTAATGAAACGTGCCTTTACAGGTGTAAATGTAAAAGCTCAGTAGTTGCCTTTTAAGGTGTTTTTCGGGGGTGGGGGGTTTGGGGGTGGTAGGAGTAAGTGGTGCCTCAAATTATATCAACGAATACCAACATTCCCAAACATCTAGCCCTCTGCCTAAACTTACCCAGTCGTGGTCTGTCATTTTCACTATCTTCTTTGTTAATGTTTTCGGCAAAAACACTTTTCATGCAGCAGATGGCAAAAAAGCCGGTGAACGCCCAGGGACGTGGCCTTTTAACTGCACCCAATGAAAGCAGTAAATAGAAGATGAATAGCTGGGTGGATCGGGATGTGTAAACCTATCCGTTTAATCCGAGGAGCTGTTTTCCCTGGTGAAACCACGAATCCTTTTTGGAGGTTGCAACTCGTATCCATAGCAACTGGCCGCGGTCACCGGCTCCCGGATGTTGTGGGGATATGCAGCCGCCTGGTTCAGCTTCCTGCAGCCACCCGGCGGCGGCCTGCGCTCCTTTTCGGGAGTCGTAGTTCTTATCATCATCGCTGCCCGGCAGGAGGCGCGAGCGGGACTACGCGTCCCGACATGCACTGCGGCGCCCAGCCAGCCACCTCCTGCCGGCTGCGGACGCCTGCGAGCAGGTTGTTGTTTTTATAAGAAGCGTCGTTGGCGCTCGAGCTGTGACCGCCGCCGGTGGGGCAGCCTGCGCAATCCGGCGGAGGTGGCGCTGCCCCTTCAGGTACGGTACTGGGCGGGCTTCGACCCTTCAGAGGGGGTTTGCGCCAACTGTCGTCGTCCCTGGCTGACACCTTCAGTCCAGTCGAGGAGCAGTGGCGGGGTCCGCCTCCTAGGCGGGGGCTGCTCCGGCGGGGACTTGACGCTTGGAGTCCGCGGCCGCACGGGCGACCTCCTCGGGCCGCGAGCGAGTCCACAGCCCCTGAGGCCTGAGCTGGCCCTTAGGGCGTCTGGTCCGGTGGTCTTGCAGCCTCCAAACCTTGTGTGCAATACTTTGTTGCGCGCCAGTGTTGGGAGAGCTGACGGCCTGGAGCACCCGCCTTCCTTCACTGGGCAGGCTTGAGAGTGCTTGTCGGTCTGGACTGATGAAAATCCATATGGTAAGACGTTATGTGCGTCACCCTGCTGGGTTTAATGCCAGCCTGTCTTTTGGTGACGTTTGAGCTCCCGTGATGTCAGGAATAGAAAGATTAAATATTAAATAATGCCCGGAGATTTCTGTTCTCACGCCAGCTTGACGATGATCAAATACCCCTCCTCCTTTAAGCTTTGGTCTTCCTGATCGATTTGTACTCAGTAGCAGCTGTCCCGTGCGGTGCCTTGTATGCGTTACTTGTATATGTTTAGCGCTGTTGGGAGCGCCAAATAAGGTATTTTGTTGAGTGTTGAAATTTGCACTGTTCTGTTCTACTTTTATTGAAAAACACAGTGGGACTTTCTTGTAGCTAGAATAGCTGACTATAGTACTACGAATTTTATATTTGTCTCCTCCAATCTGCAGGATAGTGCTTGAAATATCACTATAAACGCATCGTATCTTTGGCTTAAGATTAGAATCATATTAGGTGCTACATGTCTCGGGATATTTATCACACACATCCAGTGTGGATGGTTTACTATTCTTTTCTGAGCTCAGGTAGTATAGAGGAAGAGATGGAGATTTTGGGGGTATTGTTTTAATTCATAATTTTAAACCCTTTTACACTAAGGATGGAATCTCATTCAAAAAAGCTGTTAAAAATAAGCCCAAATACAATTTAAGGGTATAGAAGTACACGTTCTTAAATGAAAACAGGTTGGAAAATAGTGTAATTGCAGTTTTAAAAGTAAACCATGGAACAAAAAGTGAACATACCTCTATATACCTCTATTAGAAATGACTTAAAAGGGCCAGACCCTGTGGCTCACGCCTGTAATCCTAGCACTTTGGAGGCCCATGCGGGTGGATCACCTGAGGTGAGGAGTTTGAGACCAGCCTAGCCAACATGGTGAAACCACGTCTCCACTAAAAATACAAAAATTGGTTGGGCGTGGTGGTGTGCGCCTGTAATTCCAGCGATTCCGGAGGCTGAGGCAGGAGAACTACTTGAATTGGGGAGGCGGAGTTTGCAGGGAGCCAAGATGTGGCCACTGCACTCCAGCCTGGATGACAAAGAATCTGTCTTAAAAAAAAAAAAAAAGAAAGGAAAGGATAGTCATAGTTATAAAAGTGATTAGTCACTACAAATGATTTTTTTGTCGTACTTTACTGTATTTTTCGAGTTTTCTGTAGAAAAACTTTAAAAAAAGGATGCAAGTGTTAACAGCATTTTGAGAGTTTGTATACCCTTTTTTTCACTTTCTAGTGGAAAGTTCCCCACCCCCATGCAAAAGAAAAATGCAGCAATTCCAGTTATGAATGCTATGCATATTACCTTAAAAAGAAAATAAGGGCCTAATGAGGTGGGCGGATCGCCTGAGGTCAGAAGTTGGATACCAACCTGGCCAACATGGCACAATCCCATCTCTACTAAAAATAGAAAAATTAGCCAGGCATGGTGGTAGGCGCCTGTAATCCCGGCTATTTGGGAAGCTAAGGCAGAAGTTACAGTGAGCTGAGATCGCACCACTGCACTCCAGCCTAGGTGACAAAATAAGACTGTCTAAAAAAAAAAAAAGGAAAAAGAAAAAACAATCAACAACAGTAAAAAAACACAGAGTCCCTGTTGCTGCATCTGCAGACTGTATGAAAGTGTAAATTATATGGAGAATAGGGACAAGAAATGAATTAGTTGGACTGGAAAAAAAAAAACAGACTTGACAATTCGTAGCATTTGTACATCTCATTTTATTTTCTGTAGATGATGTCTGGCTCTGTCACCCAGGCTGGAGTGCAGTAGTGTCTGATCATGGCTCACTGCAGCCTTGACCTCGTGGGCTCTAGTGATCCTCCCAACCCAGCCTTCTAAGTAGCTGGGGCCACAGACACATGCTACCAGGCCTTGCTGGTTTTTTTTTTTTTTTTTTTAAGACAGATTCTTGCTCTGTTGTCCTGGCTGGAGTATGGTGGCGCAGTCTTGGCTCACTGCAATCTCTGCCTCCCAGTTTCAAGCATTATTCTGCCCTACCTCCACGTAGCTGGGATTACAGACATGTGCCACCATGCCAGGCTAATTTTTGTATTTTTAGTAGAGATTGGGTTTTGCCACATTGGCCGGGCTGATCTTGAACTCCTGGCTTCAAGTGATTCATCCGCCTCGGCTTCCTCAAGTGCTGGGATTACCCAAAGTGCAGGTATTACAGATGTGAACCACCGCATTCGGCCTAACTTGAATTTTTTTTTTTTTTTTTTTTTTGAAACAGAGCCTTGCTGTGTCACCAAGGCTGGAGTGCAGTGGTGCAGTCTCAGCTCACTGCATCCTCCGCCTCCCGGGTTCAAGCGATTCTTCTGCCTCATCCTCCTGAGTAGCTGGGATTATAGGCACACACCACTATGCCTGGTTGATTTTTGGATTTTTAATAGAGACAGGGTTTCACCATGATGGCCAGGATGATCTTGATCTCCTGACCTTGTGATCCACCCTCGTTGTCCTCTGAAAGTGCCGGAATTACAGGTGTGAGCCACCGCACCTGGCTCTAATTTTTAAATTTTATGTAGAGACAGGGTCTTGCTATGTTGCTTAGGCTGGTCTCTATGAACTCCAGGGCTCAGGCGATTTTCCTACCTTAGCCTCCCAGAGTGCTGGATTCAGGGGTGAGAGCTCCATGCCTGACCTATACATCCCATCTTTTGATCTGGTTTCTTTGCACCTTGTATAGTGAAATCAGAGGCAAAAGTGCTTAGCTTTTCTTCACTTAAGGCTGGACAATTGAATCACTTTGAATACCATGTTTTATATGTCTGATATTTTGGCTTATGTCTATATTTTTGTTTTATTTTTCGATGTGGTTATGTTGGATATGGACTGGCTAATCCTTGGTTAGCCCACATTTTGTTTTGGTCATAAATGGCTACATTGTTCTTTCATAGTAATACACAGTACATTTTTTAATTTTTTTGCTACTTTCATCTCTTAAAAATTAAGGAGGTTTGCCTTAACACCAAGTGTCCGTGAACTCATGATAAAATATCTATTCTAAAGTGTTTTAGAAAAAGCACTTCAATACTTTGTTGTTTTTCAGGTTGTAGTGTTCACACTTTATTTTCTTAGATTGCCTTCTTTGGAGCTTGCCTTCTCCAAATGTCAATTTCTTTTAAATACTTTTTATTTTGTAATTTTGTATATTCTGTGTACTGTGTTGGCTCATTATGTTATTAGGCTTTGGTCCATTCATAGGGCATAAGGAAAATTCATTTATTAACATACATGTCTGATTTACTAACTCCTTCCACAGTGTTGTTATATGGCTTGTATAATTGTATTCTTACTCAAGTTAAATAAAAGTTTTAAAAAATTAGGTGCATATGAACTGCTAAAGTCATGGAAGTAGGAGTTTTTGAACTTGTTAAGAATATGAACATAGCAGCAAGGCCTGTTAAGCCCAAGGTACTTTAAACAAAAAATGCAGACTCATCTAACAGTGCAGAACTGCTAAAGGCTGAATTATTTTTGTGTTTCTGTGTGGTGAAGATGAGGAAGTTGCAGTAGTCTAAGTGATAAAGGATTACATTTTCACCATGTTCTTTCCTGACAGTTCTGTAATTTTGACGAGACTAAAACACTTGGTTTCAAAGGTGATTTGGAGTATATTGCACCCGATAATCTTGGCCATATTTTCTTTCAACTTGAGTTCTAAGATGAAATTCAACCTTATAATATGGGAAAGATTGCAATTAAGTGATAAATAAAGGAATTTTTTTTCCCCCTAAGGGTATTTAATGTGTGGAAAGCCCTTTAAGGGCCTGTAGAATTACCTGAGGAAGTATTAGAAAATAAGAAGTGTGAGTTAAATATTTTTTACTATTATCACAGGAAGCCAGAAATTTTTTTTTTAGTACTTCTCCAAATCACTGTCCTTTTAAAATCTTAATTCTGGTTCATATTGCCAGCATGTTGAAATGTAAAAAGAGCATTGGATTGGGAATCAGAGGATTTTTAATGACGTTGAGCAAGTAATTATTTATAATTTTCTGTTTGTTTTCTTTTGGAATTTGTGCATAATAGCAAGTTGCCTTCATGGGGGTATTTGTGAATATTAAATCCGATATGAAAATGAAATTGCTTTGTAAGTGGTGGAGTTATACTCATGTGAAGTATTACTATACTGCATAAGTGCCATTTACATAAAGAACTTATGTATTTTAAGTGCGATGACTTGATGTGATAAACACTTTTCGACTAGGGAGTTTGATGAAGAAAAAAGTCAAATGGGGTATTAATTTGATTTCTTTGTAGAACTAAGTGGCTTTTTCTAGAGTGAAGGAAACCTGGCTCCTCTCCTGACTGTGACTTTGCACTCTGTTGCATTAAATGTCCTGAAACTGCAGTGTACTTCTGTGGTTGAGCTTTTAATTTTGGTTTTTCTTTGTTTTAATCTCCTATAAGTGTCAGAAAGGTAATCAGTCTTAACGATAGGAAGTGGTATTGTTAATATTCTCAAATGGATCTTTAAGTTGATTTCATGAGCAATGCTACTAAATTGAATATGAAATCTCAAGTCCTCTGAGAGATACATTTCATGTTTAAGCATTGGTCTTTGAGCCAAAGAAATAATGGAGTTTACATTCTCCTTCTGGGGAAGTTA